TCGTTGAGTTTTAGAAGAACGGTTGGTATTTAGCGTATGAGTTCAACACAAATAAGCCCACTACATCTGCATATGGCTATGTATCTTACTTCGCTATTGGGAAATATATGGTTCAACAAATACAAGCACACAAAGCCATGCCTTTGTGTATGCGTCTGCAGTTAAAACAAAAAATTACGTCAACAAAGCATCGACTACAAACACACTAAGCGGAGGTATATTCAAAATGAATATAATGTAAACAGTTGAAAGTGAATGATATGCGTGTGAAACAGCGAAAATGAAACAGAAAGAAACCAAGAATTGGCGGCAATCTATTTTAAGCGATTCGGAATGTAGCGGTTGAATTGCAATCCATGGTGGTAAATTTTAAATGATTTGTATTTCAGTTTAGTATTTTTCAATAAACATAACAAAAATATAGCCAAAAATTTCATTTTTCTCTTTGATTTTCAGTGACAACCGAAATTTAGGATCATCTAAACACAAAATATCGCACTTTTGGATCTTCTGAAAGTTTCTTATTTCACTCTCTGGTTTGAACTTTCTATTCGCTCTTCGCTGTATTCGCTCACTCTGCTTGGAAAAAGCTTCAAATTCGTCATCCAAAAAATTCTTTCGTTTTTATGTCCATAATTGGAAATTGACTTGCAATGAATAAGAAATAAAAAGTTTTACGAGCGTAAAACGGACTTTTCCGCACAAGTATTCAAAAAAAAATTGAAAAAAAGTCAATCATGGTCGGCCATCGTGTTATAAATCATTTAACACGGATTAACATGATAAAATCGTGTTAAAACAAATCAAAAATCCGTTCTATGATAACAAGAAAAAAAAAAAAATTCAAAAAAATCCAAGGGTCCCCCTTCGGGTGAAATTCTATGACATCCGAAAATTACCAGATGAACTAGTCCAATTTGGCCCAACTTTTGATACATCCGAGGTATTTACCAATAGTGACTCCTGGCCAAATTTGAGCGAAATCGTTTAAGCGGTTCGAAAGTTATCGTGGACACAACCAAAAATCGTAGTTTTTGGGCCATCATGGTCGGCCATCGTGTTATAAACCATTTAACACTGCCGAATATTATAAAACTATGTGAGCACGATACAACAATCCACTCTAGGTTGATGAAAAAAGACATTTTTTTTCGACATAATCCAAGGGGGACCCTTGGGTGATTTTCTATGATGTCCCGAAAGTACCAGATGAACTGGTCAAATTTGGCCCAACTTTTGATACAACCAAGATATTTACTAATTGTGACTCCTGGCCAAATTTGAGCGAAATCGCTTGAGCGGTTCGAAAGTTATCGTGGACACAACAAAAATTAGCACACTTTTTATTACGTCGATCGCTATACTTTTCTCACACACTTCGTGTGCGGAAAAGTAAAAAAATTAGAGAACAAAGCTGACTTATATAAAAAAAGTTCAAATTGAGCGCACGTTTTATTATTGTTTTATTTTTTTTCCGTTTATCTTTGTTAATTTCGTGCAAACCTCGTCAATTCTTCACTCACAATTGATTAAATTGAAATTGGTCAATGATCGTACATAACTCTTTATCTGGATTGATTTTGACCGTAGTTGTTTCGTTTAATTTTATCTCGGATTGTAATTGAAATACATTGTAGTTACAATAACTCTTGAAATCGATTTGATAAATATAATTCGGATTAATGACAATTGGAGTGCGTATTAAATCAATGAATGTATCCGATTCCGTACAAAAAAGAAAACTTCTAGAAAACACAATCCTCTTGGCATTTTTAAATTTTTCCGTGATGGTAACTGTTTCGTCAATTGTTTTGGAACATTGTCCGAATATAGGCATTTGTACAAAGTTTAAACCAAAAGGACCGGACAATGTTTGAATGTTCTGGCTTAATGACACTTTTGTACATTTGAAACCGCCCAAAAGCAATGGCTGGTTCGATGTAAAAACAGTCGAAATTCCCGATGAAAATAGATTTTGCGTATGCTGTGAACTTCCTCTTAGATTACAATCCAACACCTTTGTTGGCTCCCATGGGAAAATGTTTGCTGATCGTAGCAAAAGTTTAAAACGATCAGTTTTTAGGTCCTTCTGGCCACATGTTAAGCGAAATATTTCTTCATAATCTTCTGGATCTGTAAAAAGTCTAGGATACTTATTAATGAATTTAATAAAGTCTTTGCCGTCAATTGAACCGTAACGGATTTCATAGAGTGAATTCTTCAGGTAACTCCGTATATTTTTTGTTTGAGCCGCATCCGAACCATTTCGTTCGCATGCATTTCGAGACCAATCTAAGCAAGCCTCCAGTATGGATATTTCAAAACATGTAAGTGACTCCAACTTCACAATGCGTTCCAAGATATTGTACTCGCACGTAAGAAATCCTTTGGTTTTGAACACTGTTTCCGGACAAGCGCTGATTTTTCGCTCACAAAACTGTTTCAAGCTGTCGATATTATAGTGAATTGACCAATTATATGCCCAACAGATGTCTTCAATGGTCAAATGTTGCTCCATGTACTTGCCACACACTTCTAAACATTCAAACATTTGATACTCGTCCAACAGGCCCATCACTTCAGTGATGTTTTCCATTTTTAAGTTCACCTTTCCCTTGTAACAGAATTGCAGAAAGTCCTTCATTGCTTCGGGCGATGTCGACGGTAATTTTATGTCAGTTTCGTTGAATTTTTCGAGCTCTTCAGCGTTTCTTTCACCTTTTTCTACCTCTGCTTCTTCTTCTTTTGACTTGTGGTACTCTTCACGTAATTCTTCAGTTACATTTTCGATTTTCCGTTCATTTTTCTCACAAAATCGCAAAAAATCCGAAATTATATCATTTTTCCACCTTTTTTCTTCATCTCTTTTAGCTTTCTTAGCCATTTCACCATGTAACATGCTATGAAAAACATCACTTGCTCTGGATAATACACTTTTATGCGCTGCAATACGTTCGCGTTCCGGTCCACATTGAAAATACACATCGGCCGTTGCTGCGTCCAAATACTGCTTTTCAGCCACTTTCAACGCATAATTGCTCATCTGAACATTTCTGGAGTTTGACGAATCGGACTCAGCTTCATTGTCCATTTTTTTACGTTTTGCTGATGATTGTTGTTGTGATTCTTCTACAGAAATAACTTCCATGATGATCGTTCTTGTAAATTCACACAATTTCGATTTTTTTCGGTAAATTCTTCACTTTCGAAATAACGTTCAAAGTCGTTTTTAATGAAAGTCACTTTTAATTGAAAACCCGTGGAAATAACTAAAAACTTGTGCGATTGTTGTTGAAAGTTCGATGAAGAGTTTCAGAATAATGAACGATGCCAAATGTAATCGGCTTATATATTCCTAATAGCTTCTGCTAATGAGAGTTGAACTGACATTTAGTACAGAAACCGTTACACACATTTATGGGTGAGTTCAAAAAGAGAGTAAGTATTTTCGGGTAAGTACTTTTTTTCGATTTATCTTGTGAATATCAAACGTGACTTGCAATTTACATTTTAATGACAAGGTATAAAGAATTGATGTCCTCACAAACATTGATAGTCTGGTTACATATTTATTCCCTTTGTGAATTATGGAAATTCTATATATAAGAAAATAATTTAGTTCAATATATTCAAGCGGTTGACAACAAGCGTACTAATTTTTTTCATTTTTATTTTGTTTTATAATGTAAAGTCAGTCAAACATATCCATCTATTGAACTCATCCATATCTTAACCATATATGCGAAGAAATAGGTTGCATTTCAGACGCAGTGGAACTACAATTCTGTACAAGTACACACATGTTTTAATATTTATTGTGTTCCTGAATCATTGCATATGCAATTGTGTGCTATACTTACCGTCTCCTTCGTAATTAGAAAATGGCCCAAGTGATACGTACTTATATCAGACTAAGTATTTGTGTTCTGTTATCAACTCATTTACATAAGGAATGATTCACATTAAATGTTCTACTGATGATGCTACTTTTTTAATTAGATGAAATGCCACGTAAATAAACGCATTTTCATAGAAATAAAAACTACTGAAATGATTTTTCATTCGTAAATGGGTTTTATTGATTTTTGTGAAAAAATAAAAAAATGCAACCATAAAAACAATACACGCTTTTGCCAAAATGATCAGAGATTTGTGAATAAAAAGCAATAAATGCCAATCACTGTTGTTATCGGCTTTCTTGGTAAAAAATATTCATTCCTGTCTCAAGTTCATAAAACTGCCGCGCGCAGTTATTATAGTCAACCTTATAGTTAACTTTCGGACCTTTAATGTAAAACATATTTGAATTGTCCCAAATTTTATTACTTTTCCGTACACAACGTGTCAAGGGAAGGTATAGGAATTGGTCCCGAAAACTTTTTTCGCCAAATTAGCTTAGATCATCATAAAAACTCATGAAACGCGTAGAAAACCACTTTTTGAGACACTTTTCCGTTCGTGTGCCGTCGTCGTTGTCGTCGTTGTCGTCGTTGTCGTCGTTGTCGTCGTTGT